AAACGAAAAGATATTTCTAGATACTTCTACTTACTTAATTGAACTTTACAATAATATAACACTCAAACGAAAACGAAAACCATTAACTCCAGACACTTCAACGTTACACTTGATGCAATAAGTACACAGCCCATTCGATTTTTATCCATAATCGAAAACGAAACTGAAAGCCTTTTCCTTTTAAGCACCATCTGTCGATGCAGCATTCCAATTGATAATGAGTTTAAATAGCTTTTATCTAATTTTATCGTTCAGTGGACAGTCAGAGAAATTATCCAACATAGCTAGTGTTTGCGATTTAAAAGTAGGGCATCAATAATGTTGCTTATCCACTATCAATGATATATATATATATATATATATATATATATATATATATATATATATATATATATATATATCTTTGCAATTGGTGATATGCTTTTGCTTAATTGCGTACATTTGTGCATACAATTCACCAAATAATTCATGTGGAAAAAGCATCGTTTTTATAGTAAATCATTACATTTTGGTGTCACCCCCTCTACTTTCTTTGATTGAATTATCTGTTAATCAAAATACTCAACAAGCCTTTATTCCTCTCCAAATCCTTCAGTTGGTGTCACCTCACACCCCCCTCCGGATGATAGCTTTAATAGTGCGCACAGTTAAAAGTAAAGATGGCTATCTTTAGTCAGTTATTAATACAAGTGGATTCACTCTTATAATTCATTAATTGAGCATGCAAATAGCATTTTTAATTTATATATTTTGCAATTTTCACCATAGTGTCATCCTCAAAACGGTGTCACACGGTGCAGTCCGCACCCCCCTCCCATTGGCGTAGCGAGGTCGGGTGTCACCTGGTGCGGCACTTAATGGTGTCACCCAACAGAGGCGTAGCGACCCTTCCCGGCGCCCGGGGACAAACTTTCAGTTTTTTATTTGCACCCCCCTCAAACTTTTGATTTGCACCCCTCCCCCCCCCCCCCCCCCCCCCCCCATTCCACCTTTGTCGGGATTTGTCAAATTTGCTCTTAAAAGACTATTTAACACTCGAATTTTACAATTAATTAAGTGGAATTATCATTTTTCTCTATATATTTTGTAATTTTTTGCCTTGGTGTCACCCCCCCCCCCTAAATGGTGTCACCCGGTGCAGTCTGCACCCCCCGCCCCCCCCCCTCCTCCACCCTTCGCAACGCCACTGCCTCCCTCCTCGCGACGGCTCTGACTCTGACACTAATCATTACTTTTATTTCCGTCAACAAACACAGCAACATACACATCTATAGGATTCGCCACACCAGAGAACGCAGATATACCTCCTAAGTATGTAATGATACATGTTGATTAGAGAAACGCGTTTACTGCAACAATGTTAGTAAAAAAAAAATCCTGATCTGTAAAGTATGCTTAAATATATCGTAACACGAGAATTAAGCATACAATCTTATTTAATTTCAATAAGTATAGTGGCTTTGTAAAACAAATTATTTCTGTCTGTGTGTGCTCTTTAGACTTTGGTTGCAACATACAAATTGAAATAATACTTTCAACACTTGTTGTTATTGGTCGATGAGTCACGTTTATTTTATGGTGAAGCAAGTATTGATTCAGCATCAATAAAGCATTGACCTTGAATTCCACCCCGGTTCGAAAGCTAAGCCACGCGAAATCGATAGCCCTCACCCGACCAAAATACTTTACCCTAAAATCTAAAACATACCAAATCGTCTGACTGTATTATGATAATCAGTCGCTACGTAATCAGTTAAAATCAGTTCATGTATAATAAGTTTTAATAAATTCCTGTGTAATCAGTCCCTAAATAATCAGACCCTAAATAACTAGTCCCTTAATAATCAGTTCCTAAATAATCGTTACCTACATAATCAGTCCCTACATAATTGTTACCTACATAATCGTTACCTACATAATCAGTCCCTACATAATCGTTACCGACATAATCGTTACCTACATAATCAGTCCCTACATAATCGTTACCTACATAATCGTTACCTACATAATTGTTACCTACATAATCGTTACCTACATAATCAGTCCCTACATAATCCGTCCCTACAATATCAGTCCCTACATTATCAGTCCCTACATTATCAGTCCCTACAGAATCAGCCACTACATTATCAGTCCCTTCATAATCAATAGCTACATTATTAGTCCCTACATTATCAGTCCCTACATAATCAATACCTACATTATCAGACCCTACATTATCAGTCCCTACATTATCAGTATCTACATTATCAGTCCCTACATTATCAGTCCCTACATTATCAGTCCTTACATAATCAATACCTACATTATCAGTCCTTACATAATCAATACCTACATTATCAGTCCCTACCTGGTCTTGAATATTTGCGTTATACGATTGCAATAAATAAACCAAGAGGTTGCCTTTGGTCACACGAATACTCAGATAACCTTGTTTGATTAACATCCGTGAGTCCAATTGATTACTGCCACGTTTCGCTTGTTATGGGCCAGTTGAAGGTTAGATAGAAATAGGTTAGAATAATCTAGAATTAGAGGAGAGTGAGTGTGTGAGTTGAGTTTACCCTAGAGTATTGTCAACCCCGGTGTGTTTATGTATTGTTATCCCAAGGTCGAATGCGATATAAAAGCTGGAGTGAATGGTTGTCAGGGGTTAGTTGATAGCGGTTAGGGCGAGGGCTACTCTGTTGTGTGAAGAATTGAGTCCAAATAAAAGTATTGAAGTAAACCACGAATCGTTGTTGAGTTGAATCGAACCCCGGACGTAACATCGGTGTTTCTCGATAATCATCGAAATAAAAGAGTGCTGCGCCATCTTTAAATTAGGAATTACCCGAACAGTATGGTGTTGTTAGTCTTCTTTCTTCTTCTTCTTCGTTCTTAATTATTAGTGTTGAAGTGGATCGAGATTTATCTGCCAGTGGGTTTGAACTCGAGACTTTGTTCGAATTTATCAACCAAGAGCTTTTTGCCGACTCGACCACGCCTCCAACACAATTAAGCGTTACGTGTCAACTGGTTATGCGCCATTGAGGCCATTGACTCCGATTTCAGCCTGCTTTTATTTTTGGATTTGCTTCCATAGCCTTTGTCCAACCAAGAACAAACTACAAGGCAGCAGTTGTTTAATTTTGGAGTTGTCTCTCCTAGAAGAGTGGCTGTCCCCAGCTAACGAGCCTCATCTGCCCGAGGGTTCGAACTCGAGACTTTTCGGTTAAGCAACCATGAGCTTTACCGACTCGACCACGCCGACCCCATTTTTAGTTGTTAGTGAAAACAGAGAAAATATAAAACTTGTGTTCGTGTATAACAGTTAACTCAATGTAGAGAGTGCTCAAAATTAAATGTTTATTAACAGGGAATACCATAACTTAGTTCAATTTACGACATAAATTATATATTAAAAATGAGATTCAAATTTAAAAAATCTGTATGCAAAATCTATAGGCCTATATATATAATTCTGTTCTGGGAGACGCTAGAAAACAAGCTGTAATTGCGCTCCCTACCACCCCACCCCTACATGGTCTGATGAGCTTTGGTTCACGCTAAATGTTTACATTCGTGGAGCTGGGTTTAGTGATGCTATTAAGGGCAGATAATTTAGTTTGAAACGATTTTAAACTTAGGGGAGGTAACTAAGAGGAGGCTGCTTTCACGGGGGGGGGGGTGTAGGGTAGTGGTTGGGGAAAGGGGGGGGGGTGTAAGGTAGGGGTTGTGGGAAAGGAGGGTATGGGTAGTATCGTCCTTAACGATTACTGATAGTGTTTTAAAGTAAATATTTTCAGTCGCAGCATTGGTGCTGTCGAATTCACAAATAATGAATTACTGAAAAGTAGAAAATAAAACAACTAAATAGCGGCGTATGATACGCTGCGGGTCGGCTCGTTTAACAATAATAATGGTTGGATTGTCTAAGTTATAATGAAGCGCGAGCGAGCGGGGGGCGTCCATTAACACGTGCTATTTTTATTCTTTATCCCTCGTATCTTTACATCTTGTTGCACCCCCTCTACACACACACACACAGACAAACACAAACATCACACAAAATCCAGAGCTACTCTAATCATTCAAGCTACTAATTGCGTCTTAACATCTAAGTAAGTAGACATAACACAAAAATATCAATTTGTTTATATGATAATAAAAAAACAACACAATTTTAGGTTTACGTTTAAAGTTGTGGTTTAAACTACTAAAACATAAGACATTATATTGTATGATTTTTATTTTACATACTATTTCTTTTAACTATTATAATTTGCACTTGTTACATAATCATATTTTGAAGAAAATAAACTTTTATATTAGAAATGTGTAGGAAATACATTTGATCGCATTTATATAGTGAAATAATAGCAAATACATTGTTTATAATATGAGCTATTATGTGCTTTGTTTGTCTCTATAAAAATAGAACAGAGAGTTGTGTAGTAGTTGTTTACACAATTAAATATCTAACTTTAAGTAAACACTTTTCAATTTTCAAGCAGTTTTTTAAACAGTAATTAAAATAAATAAAATATGCAGACTAACTGTATAGTGATGGACAGACTGTCATATATATATATATATATATATATATATATATATATATATATATATATATATATATATATATATATATATATATATATACATATATATACATATATATATATATATATATATATATATATATATATGTAATATATATATATATATATATATATACATGTATATAAATGTATATTATATATATGACGATGATATGTGTGTTTGTGCATGTGATTGTATGTTGCTTATGTTTGTGTAAGTGATGATGTGTGTGCCATATATGTAATTCGGTATTACACGGCTACAACACATGTAACAATGAAACAAGCCGAATCTTAATTTACATGTAACGATTTTTGTACATATAGACACTGGTTTCCTTTTCTTCTTTTTCATCTTGTGCTACGTCGTATAGCAGCTTGGCAATGGCAGATGCCCCTGCAAACAGTGCTCCTAATGGACCCCCGACAACAAATCCACTAACTGCAGTGCCCAGTACAGCTATTTGGCTCTGTGATGAAAAAGGCAGACACCTACTTTAATCATTTTTTTTTGTTAAAACATTAAAGTAGTATATATTTAGACGTATCTCGATTTAAAAAAAGTACAAATAGCTAAATAAATAAATGAAAAATATATATATATACATATATTTCCGGAGAAAACAAGTGGAACCAGGCATGAAATTATGAGCTCGTTAATGATTATTTATCTCGCTGTGCAATGAAAGCGTATTTAACACCCTCAACCCAATGCTTGGCTTTTTTTCGCTGAGATTAGAAAGTGCCGAGATCACACATTTAAAAACGTGTTCAATTTCGGTTTTTACATTTTAAATGTAAAAATTCAGACTGTCCGTGACTAATAAAAAAACTAACCGAAATCTTCAAATATATTTTATCAAAACCAATAAACGTCGCCTAGTACTTCATTTTTTTTTTAGATCTGAGCATACTAAAAACGAATGATGGTTAAAACTTCAAAAGAATTATAAGGAATTGAAGTGGGGTAGGCGTGGCTGAGTCGGTAAAGCTTATGGTTGCTAAACCGAAAACTCTTGAGTTCAAACCCTCGTGCATATGAGGCTCGTTAGGAGAGCTCCAAAATCAAACAACTGCTGCCTTGTAATTTGTTCTTGGTTGGACAAAGGCTATGGAAGCAAATCCAAATAGAAAAGAAGGCTGAAATCGGAGTCAGTGGACTCAATGGCGTATAACCAGTTGACACGTATCCTTAATTGTATTGAAGGGGATCCCTTCCAACACTAAAATTAAGAACGAAGTAGAAGATAAGAAATTGTACAGATTATATTATACTAGGCATGCTGCCCAGCTTCGCTTAGGCTTTCGAAAACATTGAGAATTTCAATGCTTAATTAATTTGCCCATATAAGGCGCCGGTCAGTCGAGGTCAGTTTTGACCCCCTCATCGTAGACTTTTCGGCCAACCGGCCCCCGTGTTCTGTCGCCCAAGTCAAGATCCTGCCAAATTTAAAGCGCATGCGGCGCCGGGAAGTGCCCTATCAGGCACCCGACAACTTAGCTTTATATATTATAGAGATTAGCAAATTGCATAGATAAACAAAGATTTCAATAAAGTAATTAAGGCCTGAAATACTTTAGTATAGAAATGTACTATTTGAATAGATTCTAGATCTAAATAGGGTCTACATCTGTGTAAGTCTAGTTTTTCCGTAGATCTGGATCATCTAGATCTAGATCTAGAATCTCCAGATCTAGTTCATCTAAAATCTCTAGATCTAGATGATCTAGAATATCTAGATCTAGAATCCAAAAAGATAAAATATTTTTTTTTTAAGTTTAGGCCGAGAAAATCGTATTGTATACATTTCATAGCGTACATAGCTCTAAAACATATTTGAATGAAATAGTTCATTTCTTTTTATTCTAAACTCGGAAGATGACGTCAACAGTTTCGTGTTCTTTTTTTAGTGTAAACAATAAGCGACGTATATTGTTAAATGCGTTCTTGTCCCAAGTTTAAACACTTTTCCGGTTGCATAAATAAAATTGTTTTTCTACATTCGAATAGGCCTTTATTTTTTATAAAATTGTGGTTCTACATTTAAAACAATCTACATATTATTTTCAACCACAAGTCCGTATAAAGTTCTTCATGATGGTTATCGCTGCATGTCCTGAAAGTTATGTCGTGGGAAATCATGACAGAGAGAGAGAGAGATGAGAGAGAGAGAGAGAGAGAGAGAGAGAAGAGAGAGAGAGAGAGAGAGAAGAGAGAGAGAGAGAGAGAGAGAGAGAGAAGTGCGCACGGGGCCATTATATATTAGGATAGGCGCACTTAGAAAACTATAATAAAAATTTCATTTATGAATACTTTATCAATGGATGCGAGTATAGATAACATTTGTTTCTTTTCTAAGGAGACATATTATAAGGGCTTCATCTGCTGGGTTTATACATCATAAACTGAGCTTAAACGGGTTAAAATTGTTTCCCAATATTTTACATCAACTTTAAACTTAAATAAATGGTAAATTCTACAGTACCTGTGAACTTTCCTCCGTGTTATTTCTACACCATTTTGCAAAGTGTTCGCAGTTTTTCAATACAGCGTGGTATTTGATGTAACCTATTTTGCTAAGTGCCCTCGAAACAACTTCATCACCAGCGAAAGGTCTATTAACAAATAAAATGCCCATTATATCTAATTATAGTATATATATATATATATATATATATATATATATATATATATATACATATATATATATATATATATATATATATACATATATATATATATATTATATATATATATATATATACATATATATATATATATATATATATATATATATATATATATATATATATATATATATATATATATATGTATATATATATATATATATATATATATATATATATATATATATATGTATATATATATATATGTATAAATATATATATATATATATATATATATATATATATATATATATATATATATATATATATATATATATATATATATATATATATTGTGACGTAGATGTCTATAGCGAAAATGTATAGGCACGGATAGAGTGTGTGTGAGAGTGCCTCCCAATAAAAGTGGTGTGCTAGCGTAAAAAATAAGTGTGTGAACGAAGCAGTGTGTGAAGCAATGTGGTGTGGTGTCAACAGTGTACCTACTCGTCCGTTTCCTAATTGTCATGTTTCTTGTTGTTAGTGAAAATTACCATTAAATTATACAAAGTCTCTTTATGTATTATGTTTATTTACAATTGTTTTACCTGGCTCCAACGAGCCCAAAATACATATCCTTAAAGGATCCGATTGTAACAGATTGAGGGCCTGTCCGGGATTCGAACACACACACAATACAAAATTCTAGCTTTAACCCCTTGGCAAAAAAAAGTATGACAGAGAAAAAGTGGACAGCATCAGAAAGACAGCAGATGCCGCATTACAAATAAAATTAAAACAAATGGAAATTGACGCACAGAGGGTCCTAGAAAGAGTGAAGATAGAGATAGAATTGGAATCGAAGGATAGATTGTTGAAGGAAAAACAAATAGAAAAAAGAAAACAAACAAATAATGGCCGAAATACAGGTAGCAAGGGAAAGAGAAAAATGGCTGCTACAAAACCAAGAACATGAACAAGAAATAATAGAAATAAAAGTCAACTCAGAAACAGAAGAACTAAAACTAGAAATTGAAACGGCAGAATTTAAAGTACACATTGACGAAGGAAATATTTCTAATATCGACACACACATGAATAAAGAGCTCATTAACATAATATACGAAGATTTGAAACCCAGGGAGAAAATGGAGATAGGACTAAACAAAAATTTCAAGGTTAGAGAAATTTCAACGTTTATTAATCAGATTGAGTTTTTGTTGAATCATACTCTGGTGAGCAAAACAGACAATAACATAAGACTATCAGATAATGGCAGTGAAAAAATAACATAAGACCATCAGATAATGAAAGTGAAAAAAATAACATAATACCATCAGATAATGGCAGTGAAACAAATAACATAAGACCATCGGGGAATGGCAGTAATCAAGATACAATAAGTCTATCTGTTGACAGCGAACCAATCATTATCAACAAGTTAGTCAACTAAACAAGTAACACTGGAGAGAACGCATACATTGCAGAACTCCTACGAAGCCTGAAGTCAAAATATAAAGAAGATATACTGGAACAAGAATAAATTTAACAGAGAGATGGAGAAATTGACCAATAAATTTATGTTTCAATTAGTGTCGATATTGAAACTTGATATATGCACAAATTATATGCTGTTACACATTCAAATTTCATATGACTACTATCACATAATAACATAAACGTATGGTTGAAGAATATTGTAAGATTCTATGTCAACGAGCAAGAAAGGAGGATAATGGGTCTGTAGTTTAGGTATAATATTAAATCTCACGTGCGGTTTTTATCCATTTGGTTGTCCTTCTCCATTAGATTGTTTTTCACGACTTTCCAAATATTCTCTTTTTTTACTAGACTCCATGTATACCCATTTAACAGTCCCGTAAAACTACTAGTCGAATTCGCCGACTCCAAATTGTAACCTGCCACGTGAACAACCTCGGCATCGCCTGTAAGTTACATAAAATATGTGATAAATCGAATTACTATCAATATTTATATATATATATATATATATATATATATATATATATATATATATATATATATATATGCTATTAATCCTCGTCCCTTAACCTTTATCTTGCTGATTTGGGCACCACAGTAGACTTCATAAATCTTCCACATCTGTCCTCTGCCACTTTTGATTCGGTCTGAGACGGGCCGCCATACATCTCTGTCCTCTGCTGCTCTGATTAGTTTTCAGACTGGAAGCCCCGTCCAATCCTTGATATCATCCATCCAGTGTCGTCTTTCTTTGCCTTCCCCTTCTTCTTCTTCCTGGTTCAGTGCTTTGCCATATTGTTTTGGACAGCGATAGACTGTTTGATTTGTTGACATGCCAACATGCCAATACCAACTCAATAGTCTGGTTTTGACTATACTTAGCAGACGCTAAAAGGGACCAGTCGCTTTAATGATAATATTTTCGGATTTCTTCAGATATCGTATTTCCAGGGCCTAGATTCTTCTCTGAAGATTTGCACTGAGCGTTCATGCCTCGCATCCTTACATGAGGCATCCTTACATATATATATATATATATATATATATATATATATATATATATATATATATACATATATAAGTTTGAACAAATATATAAACACAATTTCATAATTTACAAGGCCAAAATGTTGATGCAGCTTACCAATAAAGACGCACCAATGGTAGAAGAGTCCACTTTTAACTTTGATTAGATCGCCAGGCTCAAGACTCTTGAGTAATGATCGGTTTTGTTGCCGGTTGAATTCAACCACATTCATTCTGTCGTTGGCCATGGTAAGTACAGGCTACTGAGATATGTTACAATACTTTTTGTCAAGTTATTTATTTATTAATTTTATAATTAATAATTTGCTATATACAATCTTGGCTAGTTTTATTTGTAAACTCATGTTCGTCATTCAAAATTTTTAAAAATAGCTATCAGTTAAGACAGTTAAATTGTCTTTGATAATGGGATTTTTTATCACGCATTAATACATTTAAAATGTCACACGTACTTTAAGTATACGGAATAATATATGCCGTTTTAAAAAGAAATAATCATCATGAAGTATCGTATTTATTTTAAAAATTACTTTCCCATATGCTGAGTATGTAGGAAGTATTGTAATCGTGCGAAAAATAGACATCGAGACTAACATTTTCAACGTTTCAGCTGGGTGGACGAAATTTAATGCAGAGGCGAAGCGAGGGCGGGGCGAGGTGCGGATCTCACCAGGTGAAACCATTTATGGGGTGACACCTAGGTAATAAAAGTGCAATATATACAGAAGAAAAATGCCTTTTTGCCAGCTCCATTAATGATTAATTAAAGTTAAAACTTATTTTACGTACAAAGTGACAATTATTACAAGAGGTTGGTGGTGACACCATGACGTAATCGTGCTAACTATAAAGAAAACGATGCTACATCCAACTGTATTATTAACAGACTTTAGATAAATATCGCTTCTATTAAGTCTGCAGTGATTAAAGCTTAAATACATACATGTACGTGTATGTGGCATATATTTGAATCATAGGCCTATGTAGGCCTATGTAGGCCTATGTAGGCCGACACATACGCACACACACACACACACACACACACACACACACATATATATATATATATATATATATATATATATATATATATATATATATATATATATATATATATATATATATACGCTTTATTTCTAGGGGGGGTTACACCACGAAGTACCGCACCGGGTCATACCCGACCTAACGACGCCACTGATTTAATGTATACATTTTAAATCCTAATCCTAGATTTCTACCACTTTTTTATGGAGTAGCACTAAAATCTATATCAGAAACCTATACAACCTTCAGATTTTGTTCTTTTTTACAAGCTTTTATTTAACCTGCTTCATCTTTCTGTCGTGCTCCGTTATAGATCGAAATTGCCAAACAAGGAAGTTTTGAGCACTTCTAACTGCCGATACGTTTTAAACTTGGAATGTGGGTCAAGGCATGATGACAATGCAATCCGACATCAAATCTGATGCCTAGTTTTTTAGCGCAATTTCCATACTGGACAATTGCGATTATTAACTCGTTATTTCTGGATGGATGGATGGATGGATGGATGGATGGATGTGCGCAGCTTTAAGTCGTATCTCCTCCTCAACGAAGCAATATCGAGGACTAGTTGTTCCAAAAGCAAATATGTTAAGCAAGTTCCGAGGATAATTGTGGGCCAAAAAAATTCCCTGAATACCTTCCTGGATTTCCCGGAAAAGCCAAAAACCCTAAAAAATGCAGTTTTTGGCCTATATCTCGGCAACCAGACCACTTAGCGACTTGAAACATTTACCAATCGATTCCTGCCATAATTTTAAACAATATTGCCGACGAAAGTTTTCAAAAATATCCTTTCATTTGGTCACAAAAAATTAATTAAGGAAATTGCGCTTAAATTGTCACTAGACTTTTTATTAACTTGTTTTATTAATGAATTATTATTTTTTTTTTAAAATAAGGTAAGGGAAAATAAAAATAAAAGTTTCTTAATATCTAGTATTGGTATTCAATACATAATGTAGCCACCCATGATTTATTTTTAGTTATTTAAATTGTTCATTTTTATATATGTAAAGAAAATCTTTATTTTCTTTTATAAAGTACATTATTTTTTGCGTCGTCTCAGAAATCAACCAGTTTGTCACATACTTCTACTTTTTTATAGCCCGTCTAGAAATGGTATCTAAATTCTTAGTGTTATATAGGAATATACGAAACTTTTTTAGAGCGAGCTCAATTCTCACTTTTTTATAGTACAGTAGTACGTCTACATACGAGTGCCCTAGCATACGAGGGTTATTTGAGCTACGATCCGTGAAGCAAGCGACGATTTGCTTTCAAACACCAAAACCGGCCTGCAGGTCGGGGTGGGATGGGTGGTAGGGACGTGGAGAAAAAGGCAACACCAATGAAGCGAAAATGAAGTTTTACACCATCATATTTTCAGAAATTGTTCTTCCTGCAAAAAGGAAGCTTTAGTCACAAGGGAACTAGCATGGCTTTCACAGAAAAAAAAGTGCATTGTAAATATGCACATTTTGCAAACTAAAAAGAGTACGATTTTTCAGACCTTGTAGAATTCTGACCAGTAAATTTTTTAAAAAGTTGTCGTGACAAAGTTTTAAAATATAATGAAATATAAGCCGTTCAAATTTGATTGCTTTAAGGGCATAAATAAAAAAAAGCCTTAACGTTTTTAAAAGTACCGAAACATTAAAAAAGGCAGGGGTTTTTTTTCGGGTTTCCAGGACAACCAAAATAGTTTTCAACCCTTGTTTTTACCGTTTAATACTTACTTTCATGTGCCAAACATGGTATAAGTATTTAAGAGGATTTAGATATTAAAATTGTGAAAAATAGAAATAAACTGATACCCTTTAAATACATAATAAATACCGAATAACGCCACTGGTTGGTATATTCTTCAGTGTCTACCTAAACGCTATGAAGAAAGAAGCGCCTTTTTATCACAATGTCAAACCGCTTTAGCATCAGTACAAGTTCTGCTTACATCAATCACTACCAATCCATTACTTAGGTCAACTGTCTCACCAAACACTTTTTACTTCCCTTCGATATTTCCTGACAGTCAGGAATTTTATTTGTCATTCTGTGTAAGGCATCGAGTACATAATACGAATATAAATATAGTTGAACCTATTTTTAAACAATGCAAATATATGGGAGTAAACTATCTAAATAAATATAAAGAAAAATAACACAATTTTAGAAGCGTTAATATGGCTCAAGATAGTAGGCACATGCAGATATTTTCCAAATCAGTAGGACAGCAGAAAGTGTATTAACGGAGACAGGACAAATCTGACATATTTTGTCTGGGATTATTTATCCTGAGATCATTACTCATGGAACCGTATTACCATACTAGATAATGAAGGAATGGTAAAATATACACTTAAACACATCAGGTAAATTTAATTGAAATTGCAGAAACACAAAGCCGATTACAAAACGTAAATTAGAAAAGACAAAATAGTTGTTTATACTTCCAGAATCTACAGACTTTACAACGGGGGATATTCTTTAAACAAAGACTAATAACGTTTTTTTAATAAATGCAGTCAATCTTAATGTAATGATCACGACCTTGTTATACAAATCGATTATAATAATCTTTTCTAAATCATCAGTACCTACATAATAAGTCCCGACATGATCATTCCATACATTATCAGTCGGTACATACTCTCTCAAAAACTATCAGTCTGCCCCTAAGTAATAAGGAACTAGGGCAGGGGTCGGCAACCTTTTGGATCGGAAGAGCCAAAAGTTACAATTTTCAAAATTTCCCTGGTTTTAAAGAGCCACGAACATTTTTTTGTTTCAAATATTTTATTTTTTTAAGTAAGATTATTAGTATTTGTGCAAGGAGCTGGAGAGCCGCATCTTGATATCAAAAGAGCCGCATGCGGCTCGCGAGCCGCAGGTTGCCGACCCCTGAACTAGGGCCTACATGTTCTCGGATATTTAATTATTTGTGTTTTATGATAGCAATAAATAAATGCAGAGATTGTCAGAGAGGACGTGGTAACACAAGTACCGATAACGTTGTTTGCTAAATATCGATGCGTCTCTCTTTCGTTTAGCATTTTATTTATTGTCACGTTTCGAAATGAAATGTTGCGCTGCAATCGCCAAAATCGGAATTACCCGAACAGCGTTGACGTTCGGTGAGGTTTCCCACTTGAACCAGCTAAAGGTTCCTTTTACTAGGCAATTCCCTGTATAACCAGATTATCTTGACGCCTAGATTTGTATCTAGAACAGAGGCGATGCGACCTATTTGGGTGCCTCAGGCGAACTAAGAAAATGTGCACCCCCTCCTGGTTTGTCTATAGTTATTCAAGTCAGGGAATAGCACCCAACCCACACACACACATACACACTTTAAATGTTCGGGGAAGCTTTTTTTATTAGTCCGTGTCCTTTAACAGTTTGTATTTTGCTGTCACGCAATTGATAAATAGTAATACAAATAATAAATAATACAAATAGGTAGCAGTCACATTTTTTTTTACTTCGACCTTTTTAAATTTAGAAATGTAGCTCAGCATTCTTTTCAATTCCGCCCCACTAGCCCTCCCCTAGCTAAGCCTCTGACCTCGTAATAAATAAATAGTAAAACAAAGAGCGAAGAATACATTATGTTTTAAAGTAATTTTGAAGTAACATACAAACCAACAGCCATATAAACCAGACAGGCAGAAGAAAGTCTAGAAGAAACACTGGGGTCAAGTCAGTCGAACGTCCCTATCTCCACCCAACTCTGATGGGTACCTAATTCACGTTAGGGTAAGTAAAGACAGCAGGGCATAGAGCTGACCACACTATCCCTTCATATGCCGAGGTCACAGAAACAAGTGAACTACCCGTAGACCGTCAGGGAATTTTATTGGAGACAAAAGTCTTAAATAAAACCGTACCCAACAAACGTTTACTTGAGCAGCTGTCAGAGTTTCAAAGCATGAATCGCAACACCACAAGCTTAGAATGACTTACATTTTTAAAAAAAGAACATTTTTAAAAAGTATTAAATTTCATTGAATTTGAGCTCGAGTAATACACAACTCTTTTACTGGTACCGTATATTCTTATATAACTGTAAGGATGATGACATTTTCAATGCGATCATGCATTTGACATGTTTTATACTTTCTCGAGTATAAAGAAAGCAATGTAATCTTGTTTTAAAAAACTGTATAGGCTAACCCCCCCCCCCCCCCCGAGTCGGAAACTT